CAGATGGCTGCAAACATAAATATAGGCCAGGCTAGAGTCTTCAGTCTGGGAAGGGGGCTGATAGTGTCTTAAGTTTCTTTTCCGTATCCAACCTCCCTTGCTCAGAACACTCCACATTCAGAGGAAACTCTCAGGGGCATTAGAGGGCAAAAGACACAGGGCTGGGGATGCAGCTTGGGCCCAGTGCCTCATTCTGAGGGGCCAGATCACCAGCTTTGCAAGATAAGAGCTGTAACTGAAAAGCTAATACGTAACCAGGTTCTATGGGCTCCCTACTTAGCTCCCACCTCTTGGCTTTCACTTTCCAGAAGGTGGTTTAGCCTGGAATGGATGATATTCTTTGCAAATTCACAGGCATAGATAAAGAACCAGGCATCACCCTCAGGTCAAAAAGACATTGGCTATAACAAGGAGCTGGCAAATGAGGCAGTACATCTACTTTTCAAGCCATAGACTACTGACAGCTTGGGTGGGGGGGATCTTAACATGGGGTCCAAGGATGGGCTTGTGGGAGGAGGGGTGGGAGGTAGCAGTCTGAGTCTCTCCTGAAATTGTATGCAAAATTGTGTTTGTGCATTTTTCTGGGAAGAGGCTCTATAGTCATCCTCAGCTTCTCAAAGAAGTCTATGACCCAACTCTTTTAGATGGAGGGAAGCTAAGAAGCATCCCCAACACCATGACTCACTAGTATTCAAACTCACCCTGAATTTCAGCCATAGAACAGGAAAAGAGCTCTGAAATCTGAGTCAGGAAATCTGGGTTCTAGGGGCACCCACCCTGGCTTCTTAAGCAAGTCCTTTATCCTCCTAAATTCCCCCTCTAGAAGCTAAGATTAGACCAGACAAGCTTTCAGCAACCTGCTAATCTAAGAGTAGTTCCATGATGCACTTCCCCTCCTTCCTTCCAAGAAGCAAAAGAGAAATCACCCTTAAGACACTTCATCTGAAGCCAGAAAGAAACTTTCTCCAGAATCCTGGCTGCAAAGAGCACTTACTTGTAATACAGACCATTGGAATATACATTCCTTCTTCTAAGGTGTCAGCTTCTAAGCTGGAGAACCAGGAGGAACTGGGACCTGTGCATTCTCTAGCTGGTCTTCGAATCTTGGTGCCAGTGAGTCACAGGACAGAGTATAGCACATGGAAATTCACTGACGACCTCAAATCCTTTAGTTGACTGTGGCAACTTCCTCCAACTCCCTGTCTCTCTGTCTTTATACATGCGTGTGTGCGTATGTCTGTATCACTCGCATACACACGAATTAGTTCATCGTATTTGCCTAGCTTCCTTATTATTGCTAATGAGCAAAAAAAGGGGGGAGAAAATTACAAAGATAAAGGACTAAGAAGGAAGGGCAAAAGGGAAGTCAAAAGCTGGCTTCCTGCCTAATTGGATCATCAGGCTTAAGAAAGAGTTGCCTATCGTCCTGTGTCTTATTTTAAGTCAATCTGAGATCAACTAAGGGGTTGCAAAGCAAAAAGTCTTGAAGGCCAGAACCCCCAGGAGGGGTCCCAACCATATAAAACAACCAGACCAAAACCAACTGCCAAGACACATGCAAATGGAGCCACAGCTTCCTTTTAGAAAAAGAGCGCAAAGATTCTTCACCAGAGTGACTGGAATTGCTAGTTAAGGCAGAGCTCATCAAAGAAGTTTCAATGTTAAGGAAAAGTTACTTGAACATTCTTGATAAGCTGGTTGGCTACAGCTTGACATTTATTTGAAAATTATTAGGTGTTAATATAATAAATAAAATAGCAAATCTGCCTCAAGAGAGGAAGAAAGGAAGGAAGGAAGGAAGAAATGAACGAAGGAAAGAAGGAAGGGAGGGAGGGAGAGAGGAAGGAAAAAAGGAAGGAAGGAAGGAAGAAGAAAGGAAAAAGAGAAACAAGGGGGAGCGAGAGAGAGAGAAACATTGTTTTCTGTATAGAGTAGTATAGCTGTTATGAGCTGAATCGTGTGTCCCCCTCCAAATTCATATGTTGAAGTCCTAACCCCTAGTATCTCAGAATGTGACTATATTTGGAGATAGGGCCTTTAAAGAGGTAATGAAGTTAAAATGAGACCTTTAGGGTGGGCTCTAATCCAATCTGACTGGTGTCCTCAGAAGAAGAGGAAATTTGGACACACAAAGAGACGCCAGGGATGTGTGTGCACAAAGACCATGTGAAGAGGCAGCAAGAGGGCAGCCATCTGCAAGCCAAGGAGAGACCTCGGAGGAAACCAACCCTGCCAGCACCTTGACCTTGGGGATAATAACAGTACCCTGCCTCCTAAGTTTATTGTGAGGATTAAATAATTAGTCCAGGTAAAGAACTTAGAACAGTACCAGGCACATAGTAAGCACTTAAGAAGTGCCAGCTGCTACTGCTGCTGCTGTTGATGTTAAAGGGGCTAAGGAAACACCAGCAGGCCTAGTGAAGATGTAAAGATATATATACCCTTGGTGTAACACAATATTGATTGAATGAACACTTCACCACTGGCTTTCTAACTGACTTCAGGTATGTGAATGGATCTTTATTTTCAAGCTTGCATAATGAGAATCATAATGTCTGTTTATGCTCGGTGGTTCTCCAAGGAGAAGATTACTTGGCTTTCCTTGGGGGAACGGTCTCACTAGGAACAGATGAAGGCAACCCGTTTAGAGGAACCATATCCACCTCAACTGATAGCAGAGACTGTTTGTCCAGTGCTGTGGGCTAGAAGCACTCAAATTCAGGATCATTAACTCTATAAGCCCACGGGGAAGTCTTCTGGCATGCCACCCCTTCCTGGAATCTGATAGCGTTGCAGCCATCTGCAAGCCAAAGAGAGAGGCTTCAGGGGAACTCAACCCTGCCGACACCTTGATCTTGAGAATGATAACAGTGCCTTGCCTCCTATGTTTATTGGAGATAAAAATGGAGAAATCAGCTCTCCATCTGCTTGATGTCTCAATCTCCTGAGAAAACAGTAACAGAGTGACTAGACAGATGGGATAAGACAACATTGGATCCACTTCTCTGCCTTAGCAGGTTACCTCCACAGGCAGGAAATAACTTCTGCTCTAGCTCTCCTTCACATTCCTGAGCCAGTAAGGAATATGTTTTTAATTTTTTTGATTTGCACTATTCTTTGGTATTATCCTCTATAGCTCTGAGACCAAGCCAGGAGTTCTGATTCTACAGTTCACCTGGTGAAGTCAGGCAAGTCATGTACAGCAGGGGATGTAGAAGGGAGAGCATAGGTACCTATGTCAGCAGCCTGTGCCTGCTGATCCCAGCTCACAGGGGAACACGGAACTTAATGTGCCCAACCTATTAGGCCAGAGACAACACTGCCTGCCTTCCCAACCGTGGCATTCCCATCTTCAAGAGCCAGAATGGTCCATCTATAAGGTGCTTTGGGCTCTTTGGAAGAAAGGGACTAGGCATTATAAACCACCTGGGGATCCTGTTAAAATGCAGCGTCTGACGCAGTAGGTCTGAGGCAGAGCCTGAAATGCCACATTTCTAACAAGCAGCACCCACATGATGCTGGTCCTCGGACCACACTTTGAGTTACACCCTTGGAGTAACTTTGAATTATAAGCACCTAGGACACTGATTCTCCAAGAGTGGTCTGAGGACCCCTGCAATCGGCATCGCTTGGGGGCTTGTGACAAATGTTCATTCCCTGGCGTCATCGCAGACCCTCTCAGTCAGACCTTCTGGGGATGGGGTCTGGCAAGCCTCATTTTTTAGCCATTGCTTCAGGTGATTGCAATGGACATGAAGTTTCAGAACCAGTGCACAAAATCAGTGGTTCTCCACTGCAGCTCTACGTTAGAAGGGACTTTTCAAAACACTATGCCCAGACCTCATCACAGATCAAGAACTCACACATTCCAAGGGTGGGGCCAGGGCATCTGTGCTTTTTGTTTGTTTGGTTTTCATCAATTTAAGTATCCCTAGGGGAGCCTGGAGCATACTGAGGGTTCCAAATCACTGCTTTAGATGAATGCTTTTTCTTTTAATTTCTATTGATGTATAATATGCACCTAGAAAAGTATAACAATCGTAAAGGTATATAGGAATATTTGTGGGGAGGGAGTGACTAAATCCTCAGAGACAGCGAAGTGTAGCTGTGCTTATAGGATCTGGAGGCTTGGGCACCGCTCCTAACTCTGCCATAGAATTTGTGTGACTCCCTGAACATCAGTTTCTTCCTCTGTAGCAAGAGGCCATAATACTCGCCCTATCTACCTCGCACAACTGTTATGTGAAAAGACCTTGTAAACTATAAAATGCTATTCAAAGAGGAAGGATTATAATTTTGAGATTTAAACTATGATCTTAACACGTGAGGCAAATTTAAGTCATGAAAATAGAAAGCAGTAGGAAGGATATTACAGATGATTTCTTTCCCTGAGCTTTCTAACGTGGCCTGCTAATCCCTCCGCAGTCCCACATGTGGGAGTCTGAGGACAGGGCCCTGCCACCCCAGCCCCGTGGCTCCTGCTTCTCTCTATGCTGGGTTATCACCCAGTCTCCAGCCACAGTGGGATTCTACCTGCTAGCCTCGGGGTGCGTGTGGCCCAGACTGCCCCGTGGGTTTGGGTGAATGGGGAAGGAATCTGATTCTTGCCCAAGGGGGCCCTTAGCAAAGCAGACAGGCTTTGGGCAGATCATTCTGGGCCAATGTGGTTGAATCCACATTAGAGCCCCTTAGAACATCTGGAAGCCTCTGTCTAACGGGTGGGGCCCACATCTCCAAGAGCTTCTGTAGGCTTTTCTGGTCTGTCCTGGTTCTGACCTAAACCTTTATTGCAGCCCCAGAGTTCCACAAAATACTCGCACCCCCATCACGCTCCACTGTATCCAAACAGGACTGCATAAAACCTCAACATGAAATATACAGATATTTCACAAACTCACATGCGCACATGAGCCAAGGACAAGGACAAGGACTAGATAATGAAAGAGTGAGCAAATACAATTTTGTATGTTGCTGGTACCTTCCTAGAAGAGGCTACTTACCAGCCGGGTATTTACCACAGGAAACAGCAGGGCCAGAAGAGCTCCATTCAACATGTGCATCTGCAGCCTGGAGAGGAAACAAGATAAAGTCCAGGTCACACACAGCCTCTGCTGCAAAGGCAGACAGAAATGTGTCAGGTTATGCCATGCCATATGGGAGAGCTTGTGTAAATGGCACTGGAGTTGGCACACATGCATAATAAATTAAAAGCAGCGTATTTTGCATCAACTGAAATGTTCTGAAGAGCACCACCACTGCCTCAGAATCCCCCAAACACTTCCCAAACACACTTTGGTTACAACACTTGATTACATAACGAGCTCTACGCTCCCTAAATATTCACTCAGGCCCAATCAACTGCTTACATGCTGCAGCTCAGGCGGCATTAGAAAAAGGGAACTGTATGGCCAAGCGCTCTGTTATTACATTAGAGACCTACTTATTTACACAGCCATGTCCAATCCTTTTCCCCACACAGGGACCTGGGCAGAAACCCAGGGAGCCAACTGCAGTGTTTTGCAAACTGTTCCCCTACTTTCTTAGAAATGCCTTCAAGGGCAGCTGCGGGAGGTGGGGAAGGCAGAAGTGGCAGCCTTCCAGGCGTTCTTTGATCTATTTTACAGATTGGGCTCTGTGTCTTAAAAGCAAAACAAAAAAAAAAAAAAAAAGAGGAAGAAAACCACTGGTCTCCAGCATCAGGTGGTGATACTGTTTCCCAATACCAAACTTGTTAAAACGCACACTAGAAACCTTTGATAAGTCAAGAACAACCAAGCCAGGAACAAACTCTGCTTGTGAGGGCTCTGGGGATTGACTTAAGCAGCTTCCTTCATCATTCAAGGCAAATGGTCCTTAACTACTAAGGAAGAGGCAAAGAATGACAGTCTGTTCCTCCTGAAGAAAAGCTGATTTGATGGGTCATGTACAACCACTGCTGAGTCAATACCACTGCTGAGTCAATGGGCCTCGTAGACCTCAAGACACTAGCTTGCTCACTCTTACACTCTCTCCCTCTCCCTCTTACACATACAGTCACACAGCAACCCTGCGATACCAGGAATTCCCCTATGCCCTGAATAGGAAAGCAGTCCATACCTTAAAGACTCCCTAGAACTTTAGCTCTTCTCTTGGAGCTCAGAGATGTGTGCCTAAGACTAAGGGACACTACAAGAAGACCCAAGGGAACAGCACAGAAGCCCCAAGGCTGTTTTTCATTTCCCCCAATCTGTTTCTTACTGCTGCTCCTCGTTACCAATGCCATGATGATGGCAATGATGTGCACTTAATATATTCTAGTCAAGTATCTAATTAACTGCTTTACATAAACTCTCTCACTTAATTTTTACAGCATCTTATGAGATAGATACAATTATTTTTCCCATCTTGTTGATGAGGAAACCACGTTCAGAGAAGCGAAGTGACCTGGTCAACGCCACACATAGGAGAACAGAGCCAAGATGCAAACCAAGGTTTATCTGCATCCAGACTCCAAACTCATATCCCTCTCGTTCCCTTATATCAAAGCATCCCTCCCTCGAAAATATGACCTCAATTGCAGAGTCAGGGATGCTTCTTTTCCTTCCTTTTGGGTTCAGGAGCCTCTCTACCACCTCCTTCATCCCCTGCCCCAGGCTTAATATGCTTTCAGGGGATGACAAAGGGGAGAATGCTCTTAGGCCACACCAGGCCATCACAATCCTACAGTTTAACAGGGCTTGGCTTGGTCCATAAATGGGAGGAGGCACACCAATGCAAGGTCACTCCAGCCTCCTTGGTCTGGCTTTTTCAACAGGGTCATTCAAGGGGGCACTGTGTGCTCTGAGAAACTGACTGCTGAAAACTCTGGCTCAAGCCTCAGTGCCTAGAGCAGGGGTCATTAACAGCCATTCCAGGCCTGGGGTGAAGTAGAGTTTGGCCCAACTCTGCCCCTGGGCCCTCCTATGTGACAGCCACAGCATAAACTCTCACCCTAGGAGAGGAAAAATCACATTGATAGTCCAGGAAAAGCTGGACTCTAGTGCTATGCTTTGCCATTGGCCTTAAAAGAATGCTAGCATTTACACAAGGCCAATCAGATACTTGGGCACCAACAGTTAAATCTTGAGGATGACAGGACTGATCCCAAGGGACCAGACCATGGAAGGCCAAAGATAAGGAAGATAAAATCAACATCAAGATTCAAATGACTGGGGCCGGCCCGGTGGCGCAAGCGGTTAAGTGCGTGCGCTCCACTTTGGCTGCCTGGGGATCACAGGTCCGGATCCCGGGTGCAAACCAACGCACTGCTTGTCAAACCATGCTGTGGCAGCATGCCATATAAACTGGAGGAAGATGGGCACGGATGTTAGCTCAGGGCCAACCTTCCTCAGCAAAAAAAAAAAAAAAAAAGATTCAAATGACTAAAAAATTCCTAGATAAAGACAAGCCTTGTTACTAATAAATTTCTAAAGACAAGCCTTGCTCTGGGTTCTCAAAATTCAGTTCCACAAGATATATACATGCCAAAGGGTGAATTATCTTTAATATATAAAGAGGTCTTGAATATCAATAATTACAAAAATATCTAACATGTATTGAGTATTTCTATGTGCCAATCACTGGGTTAAGTATTCAAATGCATCATCCCATTTAATCTTCACAGTTTTTATTATAATGACTACCATCTTCAAAATTCATAGCTGAGAAAACCAAAGCACTAAGTGATTAAGTGACTTGCCCAATTACACAGCTGCACTGCGTTCTACAGACCCAGAGCATAGCTGAACAGTTAAGCAACTGACAACATCAGAGGCAAAGGCTTTGGTTTTCACTTTTTTTTTTTTTTTTTGGTGAGGAAGATTGGCCCTGAGCTAACATCTGTTGCCAATCTTCCTCTTTTTGCTGAGGAAGATTGGCCCTAAGCTAACATCTGTGCCAATCTTCTTCTATTTTGTATATGGGACACCACCACAGCATGGCTTGATGAGCAGTGCGTAGGTCTGTGCCCAGGATCCGAAACTGCAAACCCACCAAGGCGGAGCGTGTGAACTTAACCACTATGCCACCGTACCAGCCCTTTCACTTTATGCCCACCTCCAGCCTGCCGCACAGATTTCTATTGGGTATGGGAAACGGATAATGGGCCACTAGAAAATCCTGTGAGAGTTCCCTCATCTGTACAATGGGAACAATAATAGTACCAACTCATACGATTGTTAAAAGGAGCTAATAATATGTATAAAGTATTTAGAAAAGTACATGGTATATAGTAAGACTCATATACGTGTTTCCTAAATAAATGGTGATAAGCTCACCTAAAGCTTCAAGACTAAAAAGGGAGGAAGGGAAAAAGAAACAAAAAAGGGAAATCATGTGAGGCAGTCAAATTGTTTTCAAAATTCAAAGTATGAGAAAGAGGTCCACAGAAAGCAATAGGACAGGCTGAAGGCCAGAACCAAAAAGTAGAGCTTGGAGATGGACTCCTGTTCAGTTAGTCATACCTATAAATCTCCTTCTTTCTGACTCAAAGTCTTGGCCATTATCATTGTCACAAATATTTTCTCAGCTTTCTTGCTTTTGTATAAGATACTGTGCTAAGTTATCTTAGTTGGTAAGAACCTGGGGCAATATGGCAAGTGTCATGGGTTTGATTCTCTTCCAGGTCAGCTAATTTCATTAAATTTAGTTCCACAAACATTAATCAATCCATTACTGTGTCTAACATTGTTCCAGGTGCTATAGGGAAAAGGAGATCACTACAAATAAGACACAGTATCTGCCTTCAAGAAGCTAACAATGTTACCGGAAAGGCAAGAAATTAAATAACTAGAGAAAATGTAATATAATGGTTAAGAACATGGAGTTTGGAATCAAACCTACATTTAAATCCCAGCTTTATATCACTTACTGGCTGAGTGCCTCTGGACAAGTCACTTAAAATATATGTGTCAGTGTCCTCAATCGTAAAATGGGGCTAATAACAGTACCTAGCTGAAGGGGTTGTTGAGAGAATTTAACGAGATAAGACCACATAAAGTGATCAACATAGTGCCCAGGACAAGGTAAGCACTCAATACATGGTAACTATTATTATCTTTAATAAAGCAACGTGAATGAATATCACATTATTATTCATAACAACAAATGAAGGTATTTAAAACCTTCACAAGACGACTTATAATTCAATTTAGCACTTGATAACAATCAAGAACCAAAAGAGATGTAATAGATAAGTTCTATGAGTGGCTAGAAAGGCAAAATCATAGAGAAGAATTCTCAAAGGAAATTATAAAATATTTCGAACTGGACAAAAATAAAAATACAACATATCAAAATGTGAGAGATGCTTATAATATGAAATTCTTATATTAGAAAAAAGAATGGGCTCCAATCAGTAATCTAAGCTTCCACCTTAAGAATATAGAAAATGAAGAGCAAAATAAACCCAAACCAAGCAGAAGGAATGAAATAATAAAGATAATAAATCAATTAAATTAAAAACAAAAACAATAGAGAAAATCAATGAAACCAAAAGCTTGTCTTTGAAAAAAATCAATGCAATTGATCAAGCTCAAGGCAGAACGACATAGATAAAAAGAGAGAAGACAAAAGTTAGCAAATCAGGAAGGAAAGAAGGGATATCACTACAGACCCCCAGGAATTAAAAGGATAATAAGGAGATACTATGAACATTTCTATGCACATAAATTTGACAACTTAGATGAAATGAAGAATTTCCTCTAAAACCACAAATTACCAAAACTCATACAAGATGAAATAGAAAATCTAAACGGTCGTATCAGAAAAATTGAATATATACACAATGGAATATTATTCCGCCATAAAAAAGAAGGTCTAGACCTAATAGACATATACAGAACACTCTATCCAACAACAACAGAATTCACATTCTTCTCAAGTATACATGGCACATTTTCAGGATAGATCATATATTAGGCCGAAAATTAAGTCTCAACAGATTTTAAAAGATAGATGTCACACAAAATATCTTCTCTAACAACAACAGGATGAAGTTAAAAATCAATAGCAGAAGTAAAATGGGAAAATTCACAAATTTGTGAAAATTA